TTTTTTTTTTTTTTTTGCAGTGCTGGGTATTGAACCCAGGGCCTCAATCATGTTAGGCAAGTGCTTTACCATCAAATGACACCCTCAGCCAGGCATAGTGGCACACACCTATAATCCCAGCACTTGGGAGGCTGAGGCAGGAGGATCACTGTGGTTTCAAGACCAGCCTGGGCTACATAGTGAGTTCCAGGTCAATCTCAATTACATAGTGCGACCCTGTCTCAAAAAACCAAAAAATATAAAAATAAAAATTTTTCAAATGACACCCCCAGCCCTTTTAATTTTATTTTGAGACAGGTCTTGCTGAGCTATCATCCAGCCTGGCCTCAAACTTGCCATACTTCTGCCTCAGCCTCCTGAGTAGCTGCGATTACAGACATGTGCCACTAAAGCCTGGCAGAGAGCTGGTTCCACCTTTGATCCCACATCTTTCTACACAATTATTCTTGTTATTATCCTTACGCCACTTAATTAAATGTTGCATAAATTGATGAGTCAAAAAAGAGACCAGAGCTGTTTCATTAAAACCAAGATATTGTAAAGTCTTGATAGAAGCTTTTTGCTTTTAAAAAATAAAAATCTATTGAATTAGATGTGGGCAGGACAACTGTAAAAAAAAAAAAAAGTGGGAGAATATAGAAGGATTCTGCAGTCAGATTGCTGTGCTAATGTTTTTAAACTCCTGTTTGAATTTAAAGAAACTAAAACCAGAGTCCCAGACACCGCAGTATGGAGGCAGTTTATACCCGAAAGGCCGTGTGGGCCCAATCTCAAAGCAGCAGCCAAGGCCTGCTGCAAAAGGTTGGCAAATGGATGTACATTTCTATGTTTAAAATTAAAATAGAATGTTTCAAGGATGAATATATCCTGTATTATGACGCCCACTGTTGATGAACCAGCCAAATATGGTCTCATTGAGTGCAGAGAGGAGAGGATGTTCGCTGTGAGAGCCCCTCCCCTCGCCCTCCCGGGACCCCAGCCCCATCTGGTGCCTGCTACACCCACTGGGAGTTACTGGGTGGGCTGGGTTGACAGCCCAGTCTGCAGCCTCCCGGGGTCAGGTCTTCCAGTAGAACAAGCAAAGAGCCCAGAGCCGGCCTGCCCCACCAGTGGCACACACCTCAGTTTCCTCACCTGTGAAATGGAGTTGCAGTGTTTCCCATCTCACAGGAGTGGTTTGAAGCTTCCATGAATTCATGTACGTAGAGTACCCAGAGGGTGACGCATGCAGATGCTTGGTCAAATGCAAGCCCTCCCTGCTGATGCTGGGCACACGGGACTCACACACCACCCTCCTCACCCAGGCCTCCCCTCTGACTGGCAGCAAGAAGCACACCACCACCCTGGGCTATCGTTTCTCATGCTCAAGACGAGGGCTGGCAGAGGTTATATGGCACTCTGGAGAGGCGAGGGAGGCCTGCCCTGGCTCCCTCCATCCACGCAGTGGCCAGTAAAGGTGACCTCCTCTGCCCTGTCTTTTCCAGTGGTTTCCAGCGACAGTGACAGTGACTCGGACCTCAGCTCTTCCAGCCTGGAGGACAGACTCCCGCCCACTGGGATCAGGGACAAGAAGGGCAGCAAGCCAGTGGGGGAGGCAGGTAAGTGTGGGAAGTAGCCCTGTTGCTTCCCAAGCCCTGGGTGCAGAGTACCTTTGCTAGTAGGGACCCCTGGGCTCCTCCCAAGCCCCCCTAGGCCATTCTCCAGCTGAGATTGTGCCCCCCTGAGCAGTAAGGGCTGGGAAAGTCAGGTATAAACTTCCCTGAACTAGCTCTGCTCTGCCATAAAACCACACCATCACCTTCGGATGGCACTTCTCTCGCGGCACAAGAAAGATGGAGCAGGTGGTCTCCAGAGTGTTTTCTGGCTTTGACTTCTCTGAGCTCATCTTTTTGACACTGTCATATGACAGAGGGTTGACTTAGGCATCGAGGCTAGTGCAGAAGAAGCCTTGGAAGGGAAAGGAAAGACATTTTCCTTCTCTCCAAAGACATTCAGGGCCTTCGAGGAAAAAGACTGACTTTGTTAAGAGTTAACCTCCAGGTCAGAACCTGGATCTTTGAGAGGAGTTTCAGGAAGGCTGACGTTAATATATGATTTTTTAAAAAGAACTTTATAACAACTATCCCAAACTGGAATAAACACCTTGGGGTACTGTTCTGGGGCCAAGACTAGGTGATGTCCTGCCAGGGCTGGCGTAGAAGGAATTCCTGTTGGGAAAGGACATTTGGAACAGATCAGAGAAACCAAGTACCCAGCCCGTGCCGTGGCAGACATCACTTGTTGATCATGATATTCTTTCCCACGGAGTCACACTGTGGCCTAGGAATCCTCCTCAGTGCAGTTTTCCAAATGCTCAGTCTCAGTTGGCAGAAACGATGTAAAAGATAAAAGCTGTGCCTGGGTCAGGCTCTTTCAGGCTGAAAGTGCTGCATTAGAAAAGTAAAGGAACTCTCTCTGCCAGCCACGATTTCCAGGACAGGTTTCCCGTGCTTCTCCTCCCCTACCATGATAGCGCTGGTCCCCTCCCTTCACACCAGCTCACAGCTGCAACCACACGGGACCCTAGGGAAGGACAGGGAGAAAGGTTACGGGCTGCACATCTACTCTGGGCCAGGGAAGGACTAATAACCATACTGGAGTCAGGGTTCTTTTGTGAGTAAAGACAGTAATATCTTCCTTGCAATCTCATTGGGTTAAGTGAAACTTAAGCCCTTCACCCATACCCTCATTTTATGAAAGCAGGAAAAACTAACAACTGTGCATTTTTATGGTGGTGACTTGTTATTTAGTGAAAGGGCCTAAGGGCCCATTTTTATGCTTTGGTATCTCAGACCAATCACAAGAGACAGAGTGGGGGTTCCTGCTAGAACACAGAGGGGGGTCCTGTTAGAACACGACAGCTTTGTTCTGGGGGCAGCTTCCAGGGGGGAGGCTGCAAGAAACCACCCACAGATACCACCCTAATTCCAAAGGAGAAGATTGTAGCCATCTGCTAGTTGTGCTGAGCTCATCTCTGTCACCATTTGGGTCTGGAGAGCCCAGTATGGAACCATTCAGGCACACATGTCTCCTGCAGGTGGCAGCATGGAGTCTCTCAGGATGGGACTCACCGGCGCACCCAGCCACCTCTCAGGGAGTCAGAGCAGCCTAGCCAGCGAGACCGGGACAGGATCTGCAGACCCACCAGGGCGCACCCTGCCCCAGCCTGAGCCCAAGGGCCCCAGTGAGTACCACGCTGTACTTCAAGCCCACCACCATCTCTCTCCCTCTCTTCCGCTTCCTCTCTGAGTGGCCCTCAGCTCCTCACTCCCTTCTCCCAAACTGCGGGACGGTAAGTGACATTTTCAATTATCTGCACTTACTGAGTGCAGTGCTGGGGAACAAAGATCAGCCAGACCCCAGCCAGCCAGCACTGATCAGAGAGAGGGACCCAAATGATAATGGTACCATCCCCGTCCGTGCTCAGTAACTATAAGGGTGGTGATCAGCATCCTGTGCTTCATGGCTCCAGGTCAGTGGTAGGAACTCCTCCTTCGTGAGCACCTGCTATGTACCAGGCAGTTCATTCCTCACTGAGCCCCGTCATGTGCCAGTCTAGGCCAGGATCAGGAGCAGCAGGGTCAGTCCTTGCCCTCCAGAGACCTGCCCCATAGCTGAGGGAGCTGAATCAGCCCACCCAACCCAGGGCCCACCCAGGTGGAGCCAGCCCAGACCCTAGGAGGGGAATTCTGGGTGCAGCAGACCCAGCCCACCCTGGCACCTGCAAGGTCCACTGTACCCTGTTGGCTACTCTGCCAACAGGATGTCCCTGTTTGACAGTGGGTAATAGCGAGAGTCCAAGGCTCTACTTGTCCACTGTCCCGAGCCCCAGTGTAGCCAACATCATCTGCGATGGTGGGGTGGAGGGCTTCTCATACTCAAGTCAGAGAAAACTGCACATGCAGGACAGGCCCCAGTCCCCTCAAGGAGGAAGCCCCAGCCAGACTGGACCCCTCGAGGCCAGAGATGCAGGGGCCCATGTGAACTGGGGCAGCAGCTGATCTGCTGGCAGGGGACTCTCCTTCTCAAGCACCCACAAGAACACCCTACCCATTCCGTCTTGTCTCCCTGCTTGATGGTTCCCCAGAAAGCACAGGCATTTGGGAGGGAGGCAGCGGAGGGCCGGTCTCCAGGGACGGGGAGGCATCTGTGGCCATGAAGTGAACCCCGTCCCCTCCCTCTGCCCCTCTCCAGTACTCCAAAAAGGACAATTTGGAATGAACCAGACCTTTGCTCTGGTCCTGGCCCTGCCACCCATAGCCTTGTTAACTTGAGCAAACCCTAAAGTTGAGCATATGAGTTAAGTTTTGTAGGTCAAAAATTGGCCAGCCCAGCAATGTTCTCACTGCCCAAAGTTCTGTTACCAATGAAGGGTCCCTCGCGGGGCTTTGGGGAGGGGGAGGCCAGCGTCCTGACACACTGCCCTCCCTGAAGAGTCCTTGGGAAATGTGCAGTAAAAACAGGGAGGGCCCCAGGGCCTAAGAAACAGCATGGAGAGGACAGCCCTAAGGCAGAATTTACATTCCTGTGCCCCTCACTTCTTGCAGCATCCTGAGGTCACCGTGTCATGACCTGGGTTTTGACAGGCCAGCTGAAGCTGACAGGCATCATGCCAGCGAGCACACACCGCTGAGCGGTGCTGGCCCGGAGCCAGGCTCCCCTTGCCCGGCAGCCCCTGCAGCTTCCTTTTCCGCGGGGCAGCAGCACAGGTGCAGGGTGTGTTCCAGGAAGACCCTGCCTCCACCTCCGTGTCCTTCCCAGAGGCGGAGCTGTCACTGAGGAGAGACTCCACCTCTGCTCACCTCGTGCGGCCTGTTTCTCTCTTCTCCAAAGGCAAAAGACACACCTGGGCGACTCCCCGCTGCTGATGGGGCCTCCGAGGGAGGGTTTCTGCGTGGAGCCAGCTTGCCAGTGGGAGACTGAAAGCAAGAGAAAGCTGGAGCCAGGCTTCTGGATTCTCCCTGACTTCTGACTCAACGAACCAGTGTTTGGGGGCTGAGTCTTGTGCCCCCACCTAGTGCCTTTCTGTGCCCCTCTGTGGGGAGCTCTCCTCATCTACCAACCCCCCTCAAGCTGTGTCCTTTATTTATTTCCTCTCCCACACATATACCATCTTCCCTGTGTTTTGGTGGGTCCTGGGTTGGGCCGGAAGGGCTGAGCTTGGCCCCTCAGGGTGAGTGCGGAAGCCCAGAGCAAGTCGGGTGAGGAGTAAGCCCACCCTTTCCCTGCCCCTCAGCTGCTCGGGGCAGGAGCACTGTCTTGCCTTCCTGGGGGACTGGTTGTTGTTTGGTTTCTTTGAATCCCTCTATTGGCCTGCAGGTTTTCACTCAGCCAGGCATATGGTTCCCCTAAGACATTAATTTTCTTCTCTTCAGTAGGTTGGGTTGGGCATGAAAAAACCACTCAGTTCAAAGTGTAGTCAAAAGCTCCGGAAGCCTCCCCTGCAGAGAGTGTGTTGATGTCCTTGCCCGCCTGCCCTTCCTGCCTTCCTCACCACTCCCTGGGGCTGGGGTTTTCCAAGGGCCCTCTCAGCTCCAAACACTTAGCTTTTCACCCTTGCTGCATCTCCCTGGCACATGTTATGCTTCAGAATTAAAACAATAAAGATTAGAATTTGCATTGAGTCAATGTGTTGTTTGAAGGACCGCAATCACTGGGTTTCTGAGATTCAATAGAGAAATGGATGGAAAAAATGTGGTACCCTTGATTTGCTGGAACCTTCCTAGCCTCAGGAAAAGAATAAACTACATCTGTGTGTCCTTATAGAGCACATAAGCCTAATGTTGAGTGGAAAAAACAAGCACACCTATGTAAAAAATTATCAAAGTGAGTTGTACAGACGTGTACATATGTAAAAATGTTTTTTAAGTGAACAAAAACCTTCTGGTTATTTATGGTAGACTGAGCACATTCATAAGTTCTGCCCCCAAAGCCACTGAAATGACATAAAAGAAATGAAAATGGCATAAACCACAAAGACCAAAGGAACAGAGGAAAAGATGGCAGTGGGTGAGAGGTGTGTGAAAAGCTTTGGAAGGTGAGGCAGCACTATGTGGTCGGTGTCAGCTTTCCCCAGTCCCAAAATGCCCACAAGGAAAGAACAAGCACCCCTCACTCTGCAGAGTCCCCTAAATGCTCAGGACTTAAAGGGACCAGAGGTCCCTAAAATGGAAGCTCAGGATGGGTCTGAAAATAGTATTGGTTGAAAGAACTGTTTAGAGGGTCTGGAGGTGCAGCTCAGTAGTAAACCACTTGCCTAGCGCACATGAGGCCCTGGGTTCCATCCCAACACTCCAAAAAAGAAACGCCAAGACCCCAGGTCCTAGTTGTGGCCAAACAGTGGAGTGAGGGGCTTCGTGGAAACCTAGGATGGTCCATAAAGAGCCCCCGACCTTTTGCCTAATCACAATCCCCCACCTCACGACAGGACATTATTGAATTTCTCTGTGGGAAACTGACCAAAGAGGACAGAAGGACAGATCCTGATATTGGTGATTCCCCAAGCAGAGGGTCAGGCCAGGGATTTAGCTCAGTGGTTCCGCCGCCTGCCTCGCAAGCACAAGGACCTGAGTTCGATCCCTGACTCTGCCCTGTAAGCAGAGCTACCTGGTCAGTGTTCCTCATAGTAGGACAATCAAAGGCACCCAACAGCCGACCAACTCCAATAACTGACAACTGAGCCCCCTCCAGTGCATAGAAGAATGGAGTACGGATGGAGTCGTGAACGTGCTGTGATGATAGTGCCCCCATGAAACAGGACAACAGAATGTTATCTTTTAAAAGAAAGTTAGTGCTCTTGAAAATTAAAAAACATGATAACAGAATCTTTCAATGTGTGAGCAGGGATAGAAGATGAGAGGAGGAAAAAAATCTTCCATAAAGTAAAATGCAAAAACAGAGATGTAAAAGAGGAAAACAGTCAAGAGCATTGGACAACGAAATGGCACAGTGAATACAAAGTCCAGCTTCCATCTATAGGAAATTCAAAGCAAAAAGCAGGAAGCAGAGCAGAAGAAATTGCTGAAGAAGTGGCACAAGGATATTTCCTAGATAGGCTTTAGGTTGCAGTTAAACAGGAGCAAGAATTTTCTGGAATTTTATTGTGCAGTAGGGCGACCATGACAACAGCCGTGTACTATGTATTTTAAAAAGTGAGAAGGATTTTAAAGATTTTCACCATAAAGAAACGATAGCTGAAGAGATATGTTTACCCTGTTTTTTTGTTTTGTTTTGTTTTTGATACTGGGGATTGAACTCAGGACCTTGCGCTCTCAAGGCAGGCAGCAGCACCCCTGAGCTAAATCCCTAGCTACCCTGACTTAAACATTGCATAATATATACATGTATCAAAGTCTCACGGTACCTACATAAATACTTACGCTTTTTATGTTTGTAGGTATCATTAAGGTTTTTTAAAGACAAAAAAATAAGGACCCTGAGGTGTAGCTTAAAGGTAGGGCACTTGCCTGCGTGCAATGAAGCCCTGTGTTCAATCCCCAGCATGCGCCCACACACACACACACACACACACACACACACACACACTCTCTGTTTCCTAAGATTGAAAGCAATGAGCTCTCTACAGAAAGAGCTGACCAAGTGCCCAGCACAGTGACCTTGGCAAAACTAGCAGGTAAAGACAGGAGAGGCTGTGCCAGCTGTAATTCCCATCCCTTGAGTGTTGCTGGAGCCCAGATTGCCACCCGGGATGGAAGGGAGGGTGCACCTCCAGCGTGCTTGCAGGTGATACACGGGTGGAAGGCCGCACCCTGAGTAGCCCTAGCCTTGAGTGGCGGTTGTCACATTTGGCTGCTCATTTGAGTCACCTGTGGTGCTTTACAGGTACTTGTGCCAGAACCACCCACCGCCAGAGCTTTTAGTTAAACAACTTTGGATGCATCTTGGGCATCACATTTGGCTTGGTTTGGTTTGGCGATGCTGAGAGTTGAGCCCAGGGCATCACTCGTGTTAGGCAAGCACTCTACAACTGTGCTACACCCCAAGCTCATGCATTGGAGCTTCACCCACATGACCAGTATTCTGCGAGAGCTGAGGGCCATTTCTGCTCTTCTGCACGGGTGCCAACAGACATGGGCAGAATGTTTAGGGTAGAATGTCTTCATTAGCTAAAAATTGGAGACAATCTAAATACCACCACACAAGAATAGATAGTTGTGAAATATGCAGCAAATTACACAGTGGTGAAAACTGAGTCCACACTCAGACGAGTCTCACAAACACGGTAAGCAAAGAAACAGATGACTGAGAAACAAATACATTATGACACTAATAGATATTTTTAACCATGCAAACATCTTATTAAAATGTTATAGTAGCCAGGCGTGGTGGCACACGCCTTTAATCCCAGCACTCAGGAGGCTGAGGCAAGAGGATCGCTGTGAGTTCGAGACCAGCCTGGGCTACATAGTGAGTTCCAGGTCAGTCTCAACTACGTAGTGAGACCCTGTCTCAAAAAAAAAAAAAACAAAAAAACATTATAGTGAAAGAATGCAGAGTGCCATCAAAAAATACAGTGACTTCGCCTTTTTAAAATTTTATTACACTAAATGAAACATTGCTATTAACCCCCCGCAGAGCACGGCTGTCCCCTCACTCTTGCCACCACTGCTGAAGCAGCTCTGGAAGACCTCTTTCCTGAGTGTCTAGTTCCATTCTCATACCTTCGTCGTCATTTTACTTTGGGGATGAGCCAGAGCTCAGACGGTGCCAGGTCTGATACATAAGGTAGACGGGGACACGTTATAATGTTTTTATCTGAAATAAATTGCTGTAAACATTTGATCCATGAAGTGAATCAAAAAAGTGAGAGTTTAAACATTTTTATTATAGGAAAAGCTGCATCACCGTTAACATCACTCAAAATGCTCGCCCTCACTTCAAACGCATTTACCCCATTGTTCTTGTTGCGATGTGTTTTTAAATAAGCTGTTTAGACATTGACTATTTTTTGATCACGCCTTTATGTTGGAAAACTAAACAGTAAACTCAGGACACATCTTGGGAAGAAGAGATGCAAGTAAAGGGTTTCAACTTAACAGTAATATTTTATTAAATTTGGGGATGGGAAGATGAGTTGTAATGTTTATATTTTATTTTATACATGTATATTTATATATTACATATCATATCAGTATTATCTTTCTGTGTCTGAAATCTTTCAAAACAAAAAATTTGAGAAACTATATCAAGGCTTCTTAGGATGAAATCTCAGGCTGCCACCAAGCATGATGGTGCGTACCTGTCATCCTAGTACTCTGGGAAGCTGAGGCAGGAGGAGGCAGGAGGATTACAAGTTCAAACCCAACCTGGGAAACTTAGTAGTGACTTAGGGATACCTTGTCACAAAATTAAAAATAAAACACATATGGGTATGTAGCTCAGTGTGAAGGCCCAGGGTTTAACCCTCGGGAAAGAAGGAGTGGGGTGGGGAACAAAGCAAAAGAGAAAAAAAATTAATTTTAGGATACCAAGATAAAGGGAAAAAAAATCCTAAAACCTTTCAAAGAGAAAAAAAAAATCAAAAGATTAGGAATTAAAATGGCCTTGTAATTATCAAAGCAAAATTTGAAAATCCTCTGAAATCTGAGGGAAAATTTTATAACCAGCCAAGTGATGACGAAGTTGTGAATGGAATGTGAAGGTGTTTTCAAAAGTGAGTTCTTGAAAATTTCCACCTTGCATGCACTCTTTCTGAGGCATAATGCAGGATGTTCTCCAACCAGACAAGGGAGGAAAGCAGGAAAGAAGATTCAGGGAACGCAGGAGAGAGGCAGAAAATCCCCAGGGTGATGGCGGAGTTGTGTGGCCAGGCCAGAGTAGCACATGAGGACAGAAGAGATAGACAAGGATATACAAGAAGGCTGTGCATGTTGGGAGATTACACATGTGTGCTAAGTCATATTTTATAATCCTACGAAACACCGAAGTCAAGAAATAGAACGAGATGCAGATTCAAAGAAGCTAAAAGCATTCTCAGCATGGCCTGGAGAGGGACTTCAGGTGGCCAGGGAATTGCTGCTTTATGCTATAAACTTCGTAGGACAGTTCACCTTTTAAAACTATATATTACACAATATTTATAACAATTTTTTGTGGTACAGAGGATGGAACCCAGGGCCTTCATCCTGAGCAACATCCCAGCCCATTTTTTTGTTTGTTTATTTGTTTTGTTTTTTTGAGGTAGCATCTAAATTGCTCAGGCTGCGCTCAGATTTGTGATCCTGCTGCCTCAGTCTCCCAGAGTGCTGGATTATAGGCCTGCACCACCGCACCCAGCTCAGTGAGACATCTTTAATGGAAAAATACTCAGCAAACTCCTGACAAACGCCAAGTGCAAAAGGCGACGCAGTGGGAACCTGAGGATGGAGGTGAGGTGGGGAGGTCGCGAGGAGCTGCCAGGTGAAAAAAACACAGCCTTTGGGCTGCCCCACATCTTAGGATTTGTTGTTGTTGTTGTTGTTGTTGTTGTTGTTGTTGTTGTTGTTGCAAAATCAGTCTACATTCAATAGAAGTTGTGCTTTGGATTTTGAGCTTTGCCTGGGCTGGCCGTTCTCACCCAGTCCTCTCTC